ATTATTTTTATACCTTGTAAATTGGAGTGTCAGACGCTTGTGTGAGGCGCGCAAACCGCGTCGCGTCCGCGTGTGTACAAGAATATTATTATAAAATATAATAATCGTATGCACAAATCATCCGTTTAAGCACACACAATCAGTTATGCGTCCGTCCGTCTCACTCTCTCGCTCGCTCTCTCTCTCTCTCTCTCTCGCTTTTTTTTTTTTTTTTTTCAAATATGTCTAAATGTTTTCAACAAATTCCGCGCCGCCGCGCCGAATAAAATATAATGTAATAATCGTTCGGTTAATTTCTCTATCTCTCTTTTGAGAAAAACCAGTTATCCGCTCGCGCTACACAACAACCTTCCCCTCCTCGCCCCGTCGCCGCGAGTGTCCTATTGTATATTATAGCGTACATAATATAAGCGCTCGATTTTTGTTTTGTTCCTATATATGTTTTTTTTTTTTCTCGTTTTCCTCCCGTTAACGGGCCAATCGATATTCTTCGCGTGGTTTTTTTATTTTTTTTTTTTTTTTTTTTTTTTTATAGAACAGTAACCGTGACCGGCTGCAGCCAACAGTGTGGGTCTCGGTATAATATTATAGAATATTATATACACGCACGGACACTGCGAGGGCGACCTCTGCAGACATATTTGATAGTTTTCGTAAAACAGCGGGTTTTTTTTTAGATTTTGTGTGTTGGTATCGTAGACCTATAAACTATGGTCAGCGCTTAGAGAGCGAAGTCGGGGACGATGCACAGCGAGAGAAAAATACAGCGTGTCTACGGGCTTACGACCAAAGGAAAAATTGTGTTAACAATAAAATTGCACCGATTATTCATTGACAACGTTTGAAATAGTGGTTTGTGATTATTGGTTATTATTGATTATGTTTTTTATTATAGATGTATTAGACTAATACATAACAAAATAAACATGATATGCATTAGTATTCGATTATAATTTTAGCAAGGCGAGGTGGAAAGCGTTGTCCTATGGTTAGTATGTACATAAAGGATATATTGGATATACCACGGCAGTGGTGGTCAAATGATTTTGTCATGGGGGGGGGGAGGGAAAGGATAAGGCTATTTTTTAAGAACGATTATTATTTACATAATTTTCTTTTTACAACTATTAAGATATAATATAATGGGTGATTTTTTAGACGTGTTCTTCCCATTTTTATGGTTAAATTATGCTAAATTCAAATTCTGATTTTTCGTATATTCAAGCGTTAGTGAATATTTTCGATATTTTCGTATACTTATAATTTTTATAATATTTAAGAAGTATCCTGTGTCGATAACAACTTTGATTTTTCAAATGGGAACCTACATATTTTGCTAAAAATTATCAATTAGATGATTTATTAAAAATTTGTATACATTGTAATCGAAATTTGAACATAAAAGCTTATAATTTAACTAATAGCCAATTATCAATTAATTAATTAAATAGGTAATTTCTTTTTTCGAATCTTGTAGTTATTATCCTTTAGGATGACTGGATATGTTACAATATTATTATTACACAAAATGAGTTAGTGGAGTATATTCCCCGCCATTAACTCTATTTACATTATACCTCTAATCTCCCCGCCTCCGTTTGACTGCCCCTGATCCACAGGCTCAGAAATACCGAAATTGTGCAGTCCCCCGCTTGCGTATTTACAGAGCCTATCGAAGTTTGGCCAAAACGTTACCAAATTGGTTTTAACAGTTATAGATTTTACAAAACATAACTTACTTGTTGGTCCAAACTCAATACCACTCCATGGAGGTTAGTGTTCTAAGTGTTAATTTTCTCGGTGAAAAACCACCACGGATTAAGTGTTTACATACCGCTCGGCATTTGTGCCGATCACGAACAGGGTCTGTAAATCCGTCTGCCTGTTTCACCATTTCTCGCGTGCAATTCGGAACATCTTATATAATGGTTATGTGAATATTGTACATTATGATTTGTCTGTCATGAGAATTTCCACCATATTTACGCGTTACGGGATGGGACCAAAAGGAACATTTTACTGATCTCGACGAATATTATGTGAAACGTGAAACTGATGCGTTTCAACTGCATGTATTACTTTTACCAAACCAGATGGTTGACAATTATTGCAATGCGTTTTTAGTAAAATATACGACGACGGAGACTTCAACACGCATTTTTACTCTTATACGATGTAGTTCATGTGCGCTATATATTATATTGCTTATGATTAATGGTTTCTGGTGGAGAATTTCTTCGTCTCGTTAATTATTAACTTCTGACATTGTACACGACGAGACGGAAGGAAATAATAACAATAATAATATATTGGCGCCCGACGCGTACATACTCATATACCCATCTCGTTAAAAGAAAACCCGAGGGCGTGTTTGCATACTTTAGTTGGAAATAATTTAAATCTCACGGTAAACAATAAAACGATGTCTCGCAAAAATGTAGAGCATATCGTTAAATATTGCTAGTAGCACTTAGTATAATTATTATCAACCGCAAACGCGTCCTATTGCTTGCCAATCGTTGATTTCATAGCGATAAAAATAGGAGAATACAAGTCACTAATAACACTTTTATGGGAGATGATTTTTTCGAATTTTTGCGACCAGGACAAAAATCGTAAACAAACAAAATGCCGCAGTGTTTCGGCTCGAAAATTGTTTGCGCTATACGTCGTGAACTTGTATCGAAAGTTTGAAAGTTAACTAACCACTGACCTATATCTTCTTCTTCGTAATATCTGCCCTTAAGACCATCCCATCCAACATAATTTTCTCCAGTTTTCTCTTTCTAATGATAATTCTTTCCAATTTTCACCGGGTTTCGTTATTTCCACATCGTCCTTTACTCTGTCTTCCTATCTTAATCTTGTGGTCTTTTTCCTTGGAGGTGTTTTCAAGTACCTTTCTCAATAACGACCCCTGCTTACGCCGTGCGTTCCCTTCTCAGACCGGATGTTTCTAGTCTCTGCCAGTGCATTTTCGTTTGCCTTCCGTAACGTCCATGTTTCTAATACATAGGTAACTACTATTACTGGTTTAACAAGCTTTGTATAGAATCGAATTTTAAAATTTTACCGATAGTGTTTTAGACCGTAGTAGCCTCGTCAGTCCGAAATAACACTTACCTATTACCGGCATATGCTATCGCTTTTATCTCGATATTTATTTAATTCTCTCGTGTGAGTAACGATTCTAGGCAATTAAACCGTTGCGTTCTTTTGAATCTACGGCCTTCAAATTGTAACTGTATATTTCGGTTCTTCGGACTACCTATTACAGTCCTACATACCTATAGGATACTATCGATCTATATACTGATGAAAAATTCGTTAGACCTGTACGCGTTCCTGACGTATTAATTATAACTGTTAAATAGAATATAGGGTAATGATTGTAATTTCGGCGGAGTGTAGCGTTTTTATGTAATTAAACGACTACCATCATATGGGGGCATGGGAAATTATTATGTACACGGTATACAACAATGAATATTGATAATGTTATTATTATTTTCGACGAAGGACTGTGCCCCGATCGAGGGTTAATTTACCCGCGCAACACAATATGCATACATACACGTACATGGATATTATACTCGCGTACACAGTTGGGCACTGACGTACAGGTACGTGCATACGTATTATTGTTATTAATACGCGTCCGTACACCCCTGCGCACTCACATAATATAAATAATATAATTTTATGATAAACGAGTCGGGCATATCACCGACACACACACACACGATCTATAATTATTTGTAAATAATGTATACCGAACCCGCTCGTCTCCTTTATAATGTGCTTGTACTTATTTATTATATATTGCCGGTGCGTTCTCGAGTCTTGTAGCGCGCCGCTCGGGAGCAGCTACAAAACACCTATTGATTAATAATCATCGTACCTATACGCATTATTATTATTACGATAATAATAATAATAGTAATATATTGTACGGATTTGAAGAGAAAAAAAAAAAAAAATCACATGCAAAGACGCGGGTATCCGATATAGGTGTAGTGTATATATAATATATACACGAGTATATAGTATACTGCGGCTCACTGATGAACGCGTTATGTTTAACGATCACAAAACTCATCAATCACCGCGTTGACGAGCCAAGACGTATTACAATATAATATATATATATATATATAGGTGGATACGTAAGGTTTTTCATTTCCATCATAGCGGTAATATTATTATTATTATTATCATCACATGTTGTGTACAGTAGACTGAGGTATAGCGTTTATTTATTCATATTTTCCTTATGGTTTTCGCGCGCGCGCGCGCAGAGACCGTTCGTCTAATCCAGAATTTCCAAGACGTACGCCCAGTGTACATTCGTTGTGTCGCGCACCGCTGTTCCGTTGACAAAATATGACTGACCAAATATTTCTCCTTAACTTGCCGGACTCTCCTCGATTATCCGCCCCGCCGGTCAGCGATAGCATATTCTCACGCCCCGTGTCACGCCTATAGATGGCGTACAACATCTTGTGACAAGACCTACGAACTCGACGATTTACCCCGTACACCGTTTAGCGGACGCACAGTGAATACGATCTTATTGCACGGGGTGTCTCTGACGGACTTGACAGCGCGTCCGATTGGACGCAGAGCGCACGCTTTCGGAGTAATTGCCCAGGCGAACCCTGTTCCCGCTAACCGTTCTTTCCGATCGGTTAACATTATTAACGCCGATAGTCACTCGGTACGCAACATATATCATAATTGTTTTTGTCCATTCTCGTCGAGAATTTCGTTTCGCGCGCGCCGTACGATAATAACACCAATGCATCGGTACAAGCGCGTATTATGATGATTTTTTTTTTTTTTCTATTCCGGAAACAGTGATCGGTCGTAAAAAGTGATAAATTATTACAAGTTATTTACGCTCGACGCCGCCGCCGAACATATTATATTCGTATTCGGTCGTAATAGGTAAACGGACCGGCTCCTCTCTTGTCACGTATTTTATACATAGTGTGTGCGCGCGCGCGCGTGTGCGTGTGTGTGTGTGTGTGTGTGTATTATGTGCCTAACCTCTCTATTCCCGCGTGTTTACACACACGCACACACGCGCGCGCACTTTATTATTATACACTCGCGTGTATATTACACGCCGTACACGTCGGCCCTCAGGAATCTCACGGATTCCGTTTCGTATAAACATATTATAATATACGTATACATGTAGTGATATTTTACGTTCACAGAAGTCGAGATAACGACGCGTAGGTTTTTTTTTTCTTTTTCGGAATACTATTATAATAATATCGTCTCTCTCTCTCTCTCTGTCTCTCTCTCTCTCTTCGGGGCTAATTTAATATATATATATATATATATATATGTATATTTTTTTTCCCTTGGTTTTTTTTTTTTTTTTTTTCATCCGTCAACCCGCGTATAATACCACGGCATAATAATATTATTATAATAATACGATCGTACGCTATACGACGACGACGACGGCGATCCCGCGCGTGTAAATGTGTGAAACCGTCCGACGAAACAGCGCGGCGGTCGTAAAGTCGCGCGTTTAACGATCCCTCCCGATCGAAAACTCGGTGAGTATTACGGAGAGAGAGAGAGAGAGAAAAAAAAATAAAAAAATAAATAAATAAATAACAACGCTAATACTCGTATCTTCTCTTTTATTTAATCCGCCCCGAAACCAGTCCCGCCGTCGCGCCGTTGTAACGTTACGTTCTTTACGCGCATCATCGTTATTATTGTGCGTTATAAAATATACGCTATTATGAAGATGTCACGGGTCGTCGACGAGAAACCGCCGCCGCGGCTGCTCCTTGTCGCTGCGGCGGTCGGAAAGCGTAATAACTTGTGCGTTGATTGCCGCGGCACGCCGGACGAAAACCGGATTCCTAGAGAGCTCTGCCCCCCCCCCACAGTCGCGGAACCCGACCGAACGCGTTAACGTCGTCGTCGGAAAATAATAATAATAATAATAACGATACGCGTACGATACGCACGCGCCCGTCGTGTTAATAACGATATTATTATTTTTTCGTGCGTACGTATTTAAAATATCGTAATACGCGGTGCGTGTATCGGTGAAAACAAACGAAATGTCGTCGTCGCGCACGGTATTATCACGGAGGTACGCGTCGGTCGGCGAGCGGTCGTAAAGATTTGTGAAAATCGACCGTGAAATTAATTATTTGTCATCCCGTTTGGATAAATACCTGCGCGCGCACGCGAATACGCCCGCATTAATTGGTCGACCAAACACGAAATTCAATACGTCGTCCGTACACAAAAACCGGAGCTCCGCCGCCGCCGCCGCCGCCGCCGCCGCAGCCGTCACGTACCAAACTATAATGCGACCGAACCCGCGGGCGCCGATTGAGCGCGAGCGCGCGCGTGTGTTACGCCCAAATAAATACACGTGAAACGTCCGCGCGTTATTCGTCCGGGTCGAAACGCGAACGCGCGTACGGGTTGTCGGGGCGCGCGGGGGAAAGTATCGCCGCACGTTCGACCGACGCTTTCCGACCGGGGACACCCGCGAAACGCGACCCGGATCACTATCAATGCGGCGTAGAAGCGGCGGGGATATTTGCGCGCGCGCGAGCCTTTGAAACACCGCGGAACAGTTACCCGCGGTGTCACGGCGCGGTTAATCCCGTTTATTTATTTATTTTTTTTTTTCCCCCCCCCGAAATCGGCAGGCGGGTCCGTCGAGCCGTGTAACTGACCAGTCGATCATGCGTGCTAGTCGCGTCCCGAGTAAAAAGCCGTAAAAAGAGGCGAACACACGCAGCGTCACACTTATCGCGTCTCGGGTTTGTCTCGTGCATAACGCGTCCGTAGATATCATTAAGCGGGATTGTTGCAGACACTGCGACACACTTTGTGTGATGCGAAATGTCGAGCGTGCAGTACAGAGTCGAAAATGGCGCGGTGACTTTGTTATAGTGTTTATTCGCATTCGTTTTTTGATTTTACATTTGTTTGCTCTTTTAATAATTTCTATTGGAGAAAATAAGTTCTGAAATGTGTCTTTATTAAAATTTTAAAATTAAATGTTCAGATTGAAGGTATACCCACTTTTATTATTGATGTTTAAATCTTAGGTAATATATTATTATATTTATGATGAGTGTAGATTTATATCGTATATTTTTCAAAATTGTTTTGTGTTAATTTATATAAAAAACTAATTTACTCATTTGTTCTCTGGGAAAATCTAAAATAACGTCATTAAAGTAGTTAGGTTATATATTAATTTAAAATAAATCCAGTCTTTAAAAAAAAAAAAAAAAAAGCTTTCATAGGGTGATGGAGACGGGTACAGCCATTGTTATAGGTAATTTAATGTATACCTGTAAGCAACGATAAACCATTGCTAACGAAAAAACGATGCCGAGCGGAGTTCAGTTGATAGTGATGCTTTGTCAAAAACATACATGTCATATTATGGTAAAATAATTGTGTAGGCATATATATAATTTCTTCAATAATATTTGTTTAATGTTGTACCGATTTTTCCGTTTTTCCGATATTTTTTCCGGTTTCCCCGGAAGTTCTTTTTCAGTTTTTTTTAAATTTGTTGAGAAAAATCCTGAGAAAATCGAAAAGTTACATTCTTAAAGTATCTCTCCACACCGATTTCCTTTTAGAAAAAACACTACGCTTAAAAATCGGAGCAAGATGTCCAGATCAAATATCCGCCCCCCCCCCTCGAATCAAAATTACTATCTCGAGAGTGATACCAGTTATGGTAATTATCACAGTGTGGAAACATAGATCAGACGTTTAAATCGAAATTCATAAATTCTCTCGAAACACTCACTCGACTATCATCGCACATGGACCGTGGTAACGGTAACCGTCATCACTGCGTGGGCCACGCTTTAGGTAACGTACGTACAGTCGAGTTATTTTTTGGAATTTTCATTTTCACACAATGCACCACCGGTACTGTAATAACGCCGTGGCCGAACCGATGTGGTAATAATATTATTATGTTGTTGGACGGGTTTCACTCGTGAGAAAAACCATATATGTATAATATATATTAAAAAAAAAAAAAAAACGTACAAATTTCGTTATATTACCTACTCGTATATTATATTGTTATCGAATCCGAAGTGTTTATACTTGTTTTTTCGTCGTCGTTAACTCAGAAAAAAAAAAAAAAACATCCATTCGAAACCACACGATATAATATACGTTTATATTAATTGCCGCGAGTGTATTGTATACACGAGTTTTCGGATATATTTATATATGTGTGTGTGTATATTTTTATTTTTCTCGAGATTAGGTGTACGGTACGCATCACTCCGTCTCAATTAGCGTTACACGGCAATATAATAATATTTACGTTCGGCGCGCAAACGATTCGGGTTTATGGACGCGTACGGTACACTTTTTTCCCATTCCGAATTCTATTTACGTTATTTAACGGATTCGTTCGCAGCTGCGTAATATTGTACGCTGTACACGGCGACGCGGCATTATAATATTGTTATTATCTTTTATCGCGTAAACAACGTAAAAAGGAATAAAATTACGTTCCCGTGCGCCGCGCCGGACAGACGGCGTTGTTTTTTCCACCCCGGTTTTTTTTTTCACTCGCCGCAGTAATACGCACGACGGTCCGACGACGACGCGCGCTGTCTTCGACCGGTCGAGACACGATAATAAATTTCTTCCGGTCTGCGCCGCGGTACCGCGGCGCGCGTTCCGTCGCGGGGCCGTACGCGAGGTGATCGGTCCGAGGACGCGACACTCGTTGCGCATCGCAAGGTATCGCGTCGAACATGTCCCGCAAACGGATCGGGCGTCAGTTTCAAATACACGTTTAGGCGCAGATGTTTTCAATTCTCCCGTCGGCCCGTCTAATCTCGAGTACGTGTAGGTGGATAGTAGCGGACAGCGATTTGCGCGGCGGCGCGTGTACCCCCGCCTACTCGCACGTCGAAACGGAATGTCTCGTCAACGGACCGACGGAAATTCACAAACGTCAACGTCCAGAACTAACGTGTTCAGACTAATATTCCGTTTATTTATGAAATTGTTTAACACGTGAAAAACAAAACCCGGTGGCGGTTTCGACCCCGAAAATAAGGGTTACAAAACACGACCGCGGTAACGTAACGTTTTATTTTAGAACCGCTCGTTCCTTAAATTGTCGAGAAAAAAAAAAACAATCCTTTCCGAGTTGACGAGTTGTCCACGTCCTGTATGCACCGCCACCGTCATCGTCATCGTCATAATAAATAATATATTATAGGTAGTATAGATTTATATTTACTACTACTACTACTATTACTACTACGTGACGTACGATGTATACATTACAATATAGTGATAACGACAATATGGTTTTTGTTTCTTTCCCCCCCCCCCGTTCGCTCCGGGTATTATTTATATTTATAAGTATGAAATATTGTACAGATGAGACGTCTGTATTACGCCGCCGTCGTAGTTTTGATATTTTTCGGTCGATTTTGGGTCGGTTCCTCCGGGGCACAGCGTCATTCCGGAGGAAGTCTTGCGTTTACATTATATCATATAAATAATAGTACCCTGTACAATATAACGCGTATTGTATAAATAATAACGACGACGACAAAAACCGTATACACCTAACAATAATAATAACAATATCGTCGTTTTTCTACGCGTCCCGCGCCGAAGAAAAACTCGAGCGGCGTATAGTAATAATAACAATAATAATAATAATAATAATAATAATAATAATGAGCGTGACGCGTGATTACACCGTGATAAAACGGAAAACGTACCTAATTTTTCCTCCTCATCCGCCCCCTGCCCGCCCCTACCGCATCTACCATCACACGATTCGATTTTTTTTTTTTTATCATAATACACCATAAGACACACGACGACTACGACGAGCGTGTCCCTCGAGGGTCAATAGCGTTCTCACGGTTTTCGATTTTTATTCTTTTCTGTACGCGTACATATACACAGTAAGTATGGTGAGTAAGTTATAGGTTAGGTATTACCGGCTCGGACTACATAATATTATTATTACATATATATATATATATATACGAAAAACAAAAACTATCCGGCACAATATAACGATATTATTA